AAAAAAAAAAAAAAAAAACTGGGGTACTGCTTAAGTTTACATTGATAAAAGCTGTACTCTGAAGCTTTTTTGTTTTTCAAATCAAGGGAAAGTAAAGCAAAAATCAACACCGAAATTGCGTAATTCTGTTGCTCATCACCAAAACTATGGACGCCGCACAGAAAACGTTTAGAACTCGTCATCGTTGTTAGTTGCACAACCAATGAATGACGCTTTCTGGCATGACGTTCATCATCCAGCGTCATTCACGTGGACCAATATCAAAATTTTAAGATGTCTGTCAAATTTTTTGCATTTTTTCGGAAATTTACTTTTTTTATTTCGCATAATTTATTGCATTTATATAAAAATAATTGCTTCTTACATCCTGCTATTATGCTGAAACATTTTTACCATGTTATTTGTTAGCACAGTTCAAAAAAAAAAAAGAATATATCTTCGATTCTACCAAGTTTATTTGGAGCTATTTAGTGTTCCTACACTTATCACATCCTAATATGTCTGTTGCTGTAAACAAATATAAGTTCGCTTTTATCGTACAGTCTTTCAAAAGTATCCTATATAAATTTACCCTTGTTTTCCCGTTGATTCCTCAAATGACGCGACTCTGCGGGCAACGACAGTTTTCTGCCGGCCACTTGGAGAACTTCAGAAGAAAAAAAACTTTTTTTTTTGGAAAATTTATGAGTTTAAGTTTTATCAATTGTTAAAACAAAATAATAATTAAATTTGAATTTTAAACAAATTCTGAGTATTTAAAAGTGATGTTTGCTATACTTATTATCTATTTTTTACTGAAATAATAAATTACAATGTGAGAAAACAGATGATGTTTCTCGTTTACAGTTATGCCAAAAAAAGTTCGCCAAATGCTTGACGCGTTTGATGTAAATGGGGCTTTTTACGATCAGGTTTCTGAAGATGGCCAGGTATAGCTAACCTTGCTTTTTTTTTTCTTATATTCACTTTTACTAAAATTATATTTAATAACTAAGCAAAAACTAAGTATGGAAAATTAATTGGAAAAATAGATACATTTTTGAGCGTCTCCAAATTTGATATTATTATTTTTTTTCTTCTTTTTTTTTCTTTTTGTTGTACCACAGTTGTTTTGATTAAAACCACTTTTTGGTTCCTTTAGCTATAACTTCAAAACAGTGATAGAACAAAAAGCAATGGCATTTTTTTTTCTTTCATAAACTTCAAAGACTTTTATAAATAGGTGAAAACTTCAGAAATTTTTTAAACAAGAAAATTTTTTAGTATATAACGTACCGAGGCTTTTGCGGATTTGTTAATCAGTATTTTGGTGCTGACCTTCCAACAGACATTTTAGAACAGCTGTTTATGTCGTTCAAGCCAGTTCGAACTTCTTCTTCTGGTTTCAATGCAAATTCAGGTTGTTCTTTTTTTAGTACATTTTTAATTTGATCTAAACAAGTAAGTTCCTATTTACAAGAATAGTTGTTGTTTTATATTGGCTTTTAACTTCGTTAAGCCAAAAAAGTTTTAAAAAAAAGTTCAGAATGCTGCAAGAAACTTTTGAGTGATCAGTACAACTTTATTAATAGCATATACTTTTAACTGGTCTAAAAGTATTTTTTACTGTTGAGTTACACAAAATTATTGTCTGACTTTAATTTGTTTTTTAAATACCTGAATACCTGCCAGCATTTAGTGTTACAAATGACTGTCCAACTAGTAAAAGTTCTAAATTATTTGTCAAACAAATCTTTGGTAATAGACGGCAAATTACTTACTTTGTGCAGTGTTACACACACAGTACTGTCGAATAATTATCGGTTTCATTTTGTATTTATTGTTCTTTAGATGCTGTGGTACGCCTAGTAAGAGAAGTTAAAAAATTTACTAATTGTTGGTAATTCAAATCTGCCTTATAATTGCTCTAAAAACTGAAAATTTTATAGTTCTATCTTTTGGTATAATTAATTTTTTATTTTTTAAACACTTTTGAGTACTGACAAAACGGTAAACACTGCTAACAGCTGTAGCTGATAAAAGGAATTAGAAGTGTCTACCGTTAAATCTCTTTTAATACGTAAGGAATTGAAGTGGTTTAGCTCAAATTTTATGAAGTTAGAATGTTTGAAAAAAACTTTACCTATTTTTCTCTTGTTCTTTCAATGTCGAGCAATACCATAAAGACCGTACTATATTCCAATCTATGTAAGAGTAAAATTTCTGTAAATTCCGAGCTGCATACCGCAGAGTTATTCAAAGATATCTCAAGTTATTAGTGCACCGTATGATGATCAATATTTTCAATTTTTTAAGCAGACTTTTATTTCATACGAAGCCTTATATTTAGGTGCAGTTAAAAATGACTTATTATAAATGCCTATGTTCTTTTTTCTTTTTAGCTGGAGAAACTGATGCTTTACTGCCGCAACCTCATGGTATGATTCAGTTATTATACCAGTCCAGTTTACTACAAGGTGGTCAGAAACAGACCAAACTTATCACACTAAAGTGTCTGGTAGAAGCAGTTAGAAATTTCTGTAAGGTCAGAAATGAATTAAGATTTAAGAGCGGCAGGCTTCGATGATGAGTCAAATGCGTGCTGTTTTTCGAGAAGAGCTATGGAATTTGAGGAAACTGAGTTTAATTGAACGATTCGGGCAACAGTGGTTGTCGTCTGCCGGAAACGCTCCTGCCGCGTACTCGATTCCGATCAGATCTATTATTTGTTATTTATCACTTCTCGAAACGTCGACTCCAGAAGAAAAGCTCGAATGTCAATACAACTAACAGTTATTTTTTTTAGTAAACAGACGTCTTTCTTTTAATATATAATTACATTTCTGACTTTTTTTTCTGAGAGCGTCAACGGAAAAGATTGCTTTTTTATTTGGTTCATAACGAAGTTCAAGTGACAAAGTCTGAATTCAAATTTTGATCAGTTTTATAGCAACAGAATCATTTCCTTCTCATAGCCACGTAAAATTTTAGCGTACAAATATTAAATGTTTTTAAAATCTCTATAATTTTTAAAGACTTCTTTTACGTCACAGGTATATCATAAAGGTATAGCTGTGACGTACATATAAGCTTTAAAAATGTTCTAATTCTTTCTTGTCGAAAGACGCGTTTAACTAGCGAACGTTAGTGTCCCTTCATAAGCGGAAAGAAATTGGAAATTTTCAGTAAAATTAAAAGTAAAATGACGAAGTATATAAATAAAATATGTGTAATACAAATTTCAAGAAATTACTTTATTTATATCTATAAATAAAATAAATCTGCTGTCATTTTAAAATCTTTCTATCAACTTGCCATACCCGAAAAATCGTAGGGTTAAGTTTCACAGATTATTTCTGAAATGAATATTTTTTACTGCTTGTAATCGACTTGAACTAAGTCAATTTCAATACTTGTCCTTAATAACTGCTATTTTAGTTGTTTTTCGGGTATTCGATTCAGATGGCAATGGGTATCTGGATCAAAATGTAAGTTGCTGACAGCATGATTCAACAACATACAAAACTCTCGACTCTTGTAAGATTCTGTAAACTGATTCATACTATTGCAGGAGCTACAAGCAATTGTTGAACAGATGGTGAAGATTGCAAGGCAACAGCACTGGGATCCTGTCGAACTTGAACCGGTCAATTCAATCGCTTTCTTTTCTAACAGCGTCAAGGCATTTTCCATGAAAAAATTTTAGTTTGCTTTAGTTTACCTATGTAAAATAATTAAAGTAGAAGATTTTAATTTGTTATTCTTCTGCTGAAAAATAATTTTTTTATTCTTTATACTGCAAGCTGTATTTGTGGCGGTGAAAAGCAGTGTTTATAGCCAAAAAAAGTTTATTGAAACGGTAAATATGTTAACAATCAAAAAGCAATACATTTTTTTCACACTTTCAATTAGGTAAATTTAAATTACAAAAAGAGCAGTCTTATCTGTTAGAAAACTAGCTGGCTAGTTTATGTACATCTTTTAAGATATATTTTTTCTTTCACTATTTAGATTTTACGTCAATTAATGAATGATATTGATTATGACTCAGATGGAAAAGTGTCTCTACAGGAATGGAAACGAGGAGGATTAACCACTATTCCGCTTTTGGTTTTGCTTGGCTTTGACACTGTTAGCCTACCTTTTTCTCTTACTGAAGCCCTCTTTTTTTGAATATTTTGAGAAAAATATTCAAATTGAAGCAATAAGAAAGCTTCTAATCAATAAAAAAACAAAAAGAAAGGATAGTAAACTTTGAGTAAACTTCGACGGAAATTAACTTTTTCACACCTTTGTTCAGGTGAACATCAGGCAAATGGAAGACATTTTTGTAACAACATATCACCACTACTTTTTTCTGGTTTTTCACCAGTGTAATTATTTGGATGTCTAATCATTCTTTCTTGTTTATACCTGGGTTACTGCTTACTATGACTTTTTTAAAAGCAGATACAATAGAGGAAAGGTGTTTTGTGTAAAATGTGGTTTACTTTTTGAAGACGAAGCCATGGTAATCAGTTTAATATGGAGCGCGAATATATGTGCAAGAAAACAGTTTTATATAACAAAATTTTTAGGGGATGACAGAAGACGGAGCTCACATTTGGAAGCTTCATCATTTTAGTAAACGTACGTACTGTAACATATGTTCAAATTTATTGGTCGGTTTTGGTGGAAAACAAGGACTTTCCTGTGCAAGTAGGTTTATTTTAGAAATAACACTTGTATGAGCACTTTTCGGCGTTTGCTTTTAGAGGGTAAAGTAAAGAGCAGCAAACAGCAAGTGACAGTAAAATTACCAGTAAAAATCCTGAAGCGTCAGAAACTTGTCAAGTTTCAGTTTGCAAGTACACAGTACACGAACGATGTGTCCGATCAGCGCTCCATAATTGTATTTATACTTATCGTGTAGGTCATGAACAGAAAAAGTCGATGAACCATCATTGGATTGAGGTCAATTCAGCAACCAAATGTGATAAATGTCACAAAACAGCACCTGTTGGAAATACAAAAATGTGTCGTTGGTGCCAGAGAGAGGTAAGAGCGCAGTATTTTTTGATGTTATTATAAAAATTTATACCACCATTTTTTTCACTGTAAATAGAAGTAATACAAGTTTTCAGCTTGTTTATAACCTGCTGAATTGATCTTAGGCTCATATACCGTGCATACCGTTAATACCAGAGATATGTGACTTCGGAGTGCATGCGGTCCATATCGTACCGCCATATAATTTAACATCCTGCGATGGTCGCGGGGGACCGCTACGTCAACTCGGGCTTCACACAACTTTGAAGGTTTTGATGCCTTTTGAAGAACAAAATTTGCTTGTTCTGAATTAAATATCAGACTAGAGAGTTGTTACGCTGTTAGATATATCCTCTGCTTGTAGGCTGAGGGAGATTTTGCTGGGCGGAGGCCCCTGTTGGTATTTGTTAATTTCAAAAGCGGTGGAAAGCAAGGTGAACGAGTTTATGGAAGATTTCGTCGCCTTTTGAATCCAAGACAAATAATTGAAGTTAGCGTAGAAAATGAAACGTCAGATCGAAAATTACGTGGCGCAAAAGAAGCGTAAGCTGAATATTAAAGTTCTTTTCGCAACCTTTTCGGTTTCTAAAACTTTTTTAACCTTTTCATTTCTCACCTATATTAGTCTTATGTGCTTTTTCTGAAACTAATATAAGAAAACCTATCATAGTTATTTCCAGATTAGACTTGTTTGAACGCATACCCAATTGCCGAGTATTGGTTTGTGGGGGAGATGGAACCGTCAGCCAGGTTCTCGAAGAAATGGGTAAGGTTGTTAGAAAATCAGTGCTTTACCAGCTAAAGCGTCTCTTCCATGACTTCAAAATGTCATTTGTTGAAGACAGACATTCTTTCAATGAGAAACGGCCACCAGTTGCCATTCTGCCAATCGGCACAGGTAATGACCTGGCACGTTGTTTAAACTGGGGAGGCGGTTACGAGAATGAGAAAATCAGCAGAACGCTCATAAGTATTAACAAGTCCACTGAGGTATGGAGATAAAAATTAGTAAAGTTTGAGTTGCATTTATGAGCGGTTTCTGCCACCAATTATCTCTTTTACAGGTTCAACTTGATCGCTGGGAGTTAAATATTGATTTGGAAAAGCGTTGTTCTGGCTGTGAGACGGCTCCTTCTAATGTCATCAATAATTATTTCTCAATTGGAGTAGTAAGCACTCTGGAAACTCGTTCACTGCAGACAAAGCTTTTTAAGAATGTCAAAGAGAGCTCATTAAGTTGTTTTTTTTCAGTAAAATTTATTTCTCTAATCAGTCTGCAAAAATCTGCATTAGCAAAAAAGCTGTTTAGGACGCCGCCATCGCTTATCGTTTCCATCAGATGCGTGAGAAAAATCCAAGTCGATTTTCAAGTCGTATAAAAAATAAATTACTTTATCTTGAGTGTGGGACATCAGAAACTTTGCTAAAAACGTGCAAAAACCTCAACTTGGAATTAGATATACTTGTGAGTGAAAATTCTCTGGTTTGTAGCACAATGGAAAAAGCCAGTATTTTTTTACAAGCATTGTTTGCACTATTTTGTTTTGAGAAATATTACAGTGCGACGGCGAAAGTTTGGATCTAACTCAAGGCCCAGCTTTGGAAGGTGTAACTATCCTAAATATTGGATCTATTTATGGCGGCAGCAATTTATGGGGTTCTAGCCGGAAAGGAGTTTCCACTGCTTGGACAGTCTCCTCACATTACGGTTTAAATCCTTTGATAAGAACAAAAAATCAGGTTCCTCGTTGATTGCTAGTACTTTTTTCGAAGCTTTTAGACATGTTCTATCGAGTCTGTTGTAAACATTCTCTTTGCAGGATTTTAGTGACGGCTTAATTGAAATTGTTGGTCTGGAATCTGCAATGCAAATGGGGCAGATAAAAACTGGTGTTAGATCTGGTCATCGTATAGCTCAGTGCAAAAATGTAGTGATAACGTAAGAAAATGATATAAGGAATTTTAGCAATCTGTATTTTCAAGAAGAAATAATGTAATTTTGCTAAAATTGTATTCTCTGTTTATTTTGATGAGCAAACTTAATGATTTTTTGAATAGACGAAAGTAATGTAGCAGTTTGAACTTCAGGACGCATAAACTACTTCCAATGCAGGTTGACGGCGAGCCATGGATGCAGGCACCCTCTATTATTCAGATTATATTCAAGAATCAAGTACCAATGCTTCGAGGTCGGTAAAATCAAAGGTTTTTTTTTTTGCTTTTTTTTGAACTCAAGAGCTTTATATTATCAGTTGAGGTGCAATTTTGAGAAGTATTTTTAAGAGTGCGGAACTATTGCAGACAAGAAATCTTGACTTTTCTAATTGAGTAACCATTGTCTTTATTGGTACAATTATTTACGCTATCATCTTGAAGTAGAACTTTAACATTGTAACACTGATTTTAGTTTCTCAGTAGTATATATTTTTATTCTTTGCTTTTCTGGCTAATTGGAAATCTATTTGGTGTAATAGAAGTGTAGAGCAAAATCTTTTGTAGCTCCCAAAAAAATCAGAACCTGGAATCCCTTTCGGCAACGACTCCCCAGCGATGAATAATAGCTTGAACAACTAATGGACAGTGCATTAAAGCAACAGCCTACAATGCAATCGTCCTGAATAGTGCTCTCTAACAAATGCTTTATAAGATTTATTCTGAACTTTCGGAATCATAAGCCGTGTTGTTGAATTAGCAATTTTTAAAACTCTGGTATTTTTTTGCTCAATTGTTCAAAAACTGGACCTCATTTGAATGGCGGAGATTTGTACTTCTTGCATGATCGTGTTGCTTTCTTAGAAGAACTTACAGTTCAGCATGTTCTCACTGAAACTGAATACTTTAAGAAGTATTAGCCGAAAACTGTGACGTCTACTTCTAAAAGATTTATTTTTAAGTTTGGCTTAGTAAGTATCTTAACAAATATCGAAAAAGCTGCTGTTGAGATAAAGTTTAGGAAGTATCAAAAAATTAAATAAGGAAATGCACTTCTGTAAATTGGGAACATCTGGGAAATTGAGCTACACAACGATGAAGTAGATGACTTATTTTTTAATAGGTGCACTGTAACAATCTGTTCTAGTAGTCTCATTTTTTGAAAAGCAGTCTATCAGCAACAAATATTTTTATTTGAATTACTCTAATTTAGACGTTAAGCTAGTTGTAAAGCTAATTTGCTTGCTAAAAGCTTCATTATTATTGCCCTTTTCGTGATATTTAGATGATTCTGATGTTTACAATTTGATACTTGCTTAAAATCTATATTCTAGGAATGTTTTCGAGAACGAAACCTTTACATAGCACCTTTTTGCTGACAAAAACGTTGGGTATATGGAATTTTAAGCTGCATTATGAAGTCAAAACTCTGCAGATCTTTTGAGACTTGCTGGGAGGAAAAGTGAGCGTTTTAAATTATTTCCAGAAGTAACATGTTTTTTTTGAAAGTTTTTTATCTTATTGGTCTCTCAAGAGTGAAATGACCTGTTATTTGCGTAAAAATACTATTGTAGAAAATTTAACAGCGTAGCACTTCAAATGAGAAATCACGACAAAGCAAACACCAAATTTGCAATTTTAAACAAATAACCACTGTCTGCCAAATTTCAAGCAAGTTGTTGATGTATTTTTTTTTTGAAAGAAATCGTTTGATAAATCTACAGTGTTTGCTGCCTCAAAAGCATTGTCTGCATTAAAGCCGATACTTTGTTCATGGAGTAGAATAGCTTTAAGTTATGTTGTTTGTTTTCTGGTCTTTGAAAGTTTATCCTTATTCTGTATGTTTTATACCGCAATTCGTCTTCATCTGTCATAGTGAATATAAGTGCTCCTGTTGAGACGTCACTGTTATCTGTTGTGACGATAACATAGAAGGTCAATTAGAAATTCCCAAAAAAAGGAGTGATTAAAAATTGGTTTCTTGTTTTGTTGTCTGTGGCTGAATGACTGCTTGTTCGTAAATGCTCTATCATCTTCTGTTAACAGTTTGCTCTGAAAGAAAAAAAGAGCACAGCATTGTTTCCTTCAAAAAGTTGAACGTGTAACATATGAAAAATCCTTTGCTTTCTTCTCTTTAATCTGGATGCGGTAGCCTACAGCATTTTTGACTACTTTAAACTTTTTTTTTCTTTTCAGATCACTTTTGTGATCTAAGAATGGTGTAGTAATGAAAAAAATAAGTTTTAAACTGTTTTATTGGGTGTGGGTCAGCGACTGTTTTTGAGATCATTCATTGATATCATTTTTTTGAATTATACACTCAGTGCATATTATCAAAGGGTTTTCTGAAATACTGCTCACTCTTGCTGTTTCCATGTCGTAAACTCTTTGCTCAGCACTAAAGTTGCCTTTGTTGCTCTGATACTAGAGAAGTGCAATAAAGGTGAATCATAGGCTGAATTGAATGTGTAAACGCCTGTTATGGTGACACTGCTGAAATAATTGATGAATTATTTCCCAAGTTAAAAGGTACCAATTTTTGTAATATATCTTAGTTGCTTGATAGACGCGTGATCTTCAAAAAATAAAGTTTTCTGCTATACATTTATTACTCTTAAAACTGAATTTGCTCTAACAACATAGTCAAGTCATGCTAATCTTCTAAAGATTTTGAAGTTTAGGACATAAGATACAATTCTAGTTGGTGAGTAAGGCTGTATGCCGGTGGAGGCAATCAGTTGTAGAATAGAGTGTATTCTTAGCATTTAAAAATGGAAAAGAGGAAAAATAAAAGGAAAAAATTTCTTACTCAAAACTTTAAAGTAACAAATGTATTTTCTTCTTCAAACTCTCGAATGAAATATGCTTATTGCCATTGAATTGACAGACACGACAAAATTTTCTAAGATTAATGGATAAAAAACAGCAATATCATTTTCTACCAGTTTTAGAAGTACATTTTCATTTGTATAAAGAATAAACAATTTCTGGAATCAATACGTATTTAGACATAATTGACAGAAGAAGAAAAAAATATGAATGCGCTTTTTTTTCAAACTATTCAATATTATGTTTTTTTTGTCAAAAATTAGACAACAGAACACAGGTATTTTAGTTCACTTAAAAACCTTTCAAGACTGGTAGGAAGTCAAAAGGGACCACAGAAGAAATTTGCATACACCTCAGTTTGGCAGAACTAGTCGTAAGTGCTCTTGTCAGCCATGCTATAGTAATTTCTTGTCACTTCAAAAAGATGGTAGCTTGCCTTCTCATTTGAACGTCAACGGAATGGGAGCGATAACAATAATAGCAATGATAATAGTAATAATAATGATAATAATAGTAATGATAATAATAATAATAATGATAATAATAATAATAATAATAATGATAATGATAATAATAATAATAATAATAATAATAATAATATTAATGTTAATATTGATATTGATATTAATATTAATATTAATATTAACATCAATATTAATATTAATATAGGAGTAATACTATTAGTGGTGACAGAATAGTGATAATAATAACAATAATGACGGTAAAGATAATAATAACAGTATTAATAACTATGATTATGACGTTTATGATTATAAGGGCCAGAGTATTGTAAAAACAAAGTTAGATGATTATATAGAATAAATCTTTTTTCATTAAACTTCATTTTTTATTTTTTGAATAGTCACCAAGTGCTTTTTTTTCAATTGACGACACAGCCGGTGACGTTTGAATTCCTGAGAAACTACAATATTATTTTACGTTAAAAGCAATTTTGAGAGGCATTTTTGCTTGTACATAAGGTATTTAAATGACTTGACAACCAGTATTTAACAGTGAACATAATAAGGAAAGGGAATTAAAAATTGGTACGGTTAACCTGCGCACTAAAGCGAACTGATAAATGGTATTCAGTTACAAAGGTCGATCCATTTTCGAAAAATATATCATCCAGTATCTGTAAAAAAAGCTTGTTCTCTAAATAGCTGCTGTACCCTTAACTGGTTTTTTCTTTTCAAGTTGTTCAAAGCATAAGACATTTTTTAGTTGTTTAAAAGTGTTGTTCAAAGCCAAAATTTCTGTTGATTGTAGTTAGTAAAAATTGTGAAAATTGCTTACACTACGTTGAAGAACAAGAAAGAAAGAGGAAACATTATCATTGAGCACCGATCAACCTAAAAAAAACTATTACTTTGTTATTCTCTATGCTTTTATTTATTTCAATGTATAGCTGTTTTTCATCCTCTAAAAAAATTCAATAATCTAGAAAGTTTAAAATGTGTTGAAAATTTCAATTTGTAGTAGCTCTCTTGGTGGTCTGTACTAAGAGATCAGAATAATATTACATTATCCAAATAACAGAACTGCGTAATGACAACTTTAAAAGTATTAAAGACCAGAGTTAATGAAAAAAAATGTGAGACAAGAAACTGTGATTCGACGCTCACAGTAGTCAAAGATAAGTTCTGAATTACTGCGAACAAATCCGCCGTGCTTCCTAACAAATTTTACTGATTACGGTCATGTAGAACAATAATTCCCAGAAACTGTGAAAAACGCAAGCGTAATTCTCAAAAATAAACTTTTTTCACGATTGTTTTAGTATATCAATTATTCTACAGAATGTTGCTTAATCATTCGATCGTCGCTACGTTTATTGTTTCGGTCCTGATGCAAAAGAAAAAAGATAAGAACATATCTGCTGAATTTCTCACCTGAACTGAAGTAACCCTCCAGTGCCGGCGAGACAACCATCGAAACCAACTACACATGCAGCTACGTCGCCACGACGACCTCCAGTCTTCGACCTGCAGAACGACTTGTTTAGAGAATTTGTTATTATACTTAGTTGGCATTTGTGCGATTCAATTTCACCGTTACTTTCTCACAATACGTTCTGCTTCAACGATTTTTGGTTGCTGAAGCGAACAAGAAGCAACTGAAAGCTCCAAAAAAAGCTCATTTTCAGTTGTTTTATGCTTTGACGTTACAAATTATAACAGTACTTTTACTTGCAATTTTCAAAAGAAGACAAAACACAACAACTAAAGAGTATAACGAGTAGTTAAAAAATATGCAAAAAAGTACTTTTTTTTCTTCTTTATTACACAAGAAATTAACTTTTTTTCTGGATGTGTCTGGATGATTCGAGACTTCTTGGATAAGGGTGCTTTTAACATCGGTTTCAGCAGACTTCTTTTGCTTTAATAAACTGATAATTGTTCGCCTACGTCCTGCAGCATCATTTTGCGTTGGTGCTTCACCATTAGAAACTTTTTCACGATTCTTTCTTGCGTTTCTAGAATTCCTTACATGCATTGTTATAGTAGCATCACTACACGTAGACAAGATTTCAATTGTTATTAAACGTTACTTTACATGTCCCAGCCATTGTGTAATCACCTTATTGCCCAACTGTTTTTCTCGTTCCCACCTGAAAAAATTCAACTTTCTGGATAAAATTCTACGCGTTACTTGCTTCATTAGAGCTTCAGAACAGCTTTTAAACGTTTGAAAATCACGGTTAGAGAAATTTTATTGAGAAGTTAAACTAAAAATTTTCTGACGTTTTTTAATACGATTAATTTTAGTAATACTTCGCGTTACCTGTTCAACTGGCATACAAGAGCGAGTTCGACAAGTGTACAAAAAATGAAGATAACTGAAAATATCATCCATACATCCAGACACTGTAAAAACCTAATTAAAACTCAAGAAAAAAGTCAAGAAAAAAAATGGTCGGGGATAATAAACAGCTTAGTAAATTTTTGGAGATAAGGAGAGAAGGCTTTCTGTAAGTATGTACAGAACAAGTGAATTTTTTAACACTGATATATCAGTTCATTTTTGACCGTGTCTTCTACTGGTACTTTTTGTGTTCTATATTTGTTGCTCTTTCTGGTTTACGGAGGCTAATTACCTCCGTTTAAACTAACGGAAGCGGGTACTGGCAAACGGAATAACCTTAATGTAGCTGACACGAGGAAGGTGCCTTAGTACATTTCCAAACTGAAATGTTAGTGCCAAAAGCGAAGAAACTCCCAACGTTATCCTACAAAACGTAGGCATCAATAGCCCAAATAAACAGATTCTAAGTTAGTTTACTTTTTCAAAAACTGTTTCAGTTAGATAAGTTGCGTTTGCTGAGCTGAACGTGCTATAGTAGGTGCAAATATGACACAGATATAAGTACAAATAAGAATCGTATTTTTTTTTTGGCGTAACATATTTATAAATTTGTATTAACCATTTTTTCGTACAAATAATTAATTTTTTTGTTAAGTAATTCATTAGATTTGATAATTTGAAAAAATGTAGAAAAAAGAGACAAAAGCTGAACATTTATCTTCGTAAGCCGCATTATACTGCAAGATTGTGAAGACAAATGTGCAAGTCAAGAACCGAATACATACAACAAGAAAAAAAAACCAAAAACAAAAAACTTTCTTTTTTTTATCAAAAACGCTTAAGTTTTAAAAACTGAAGAAAACAACAAAGTGTTTTTTTACAGATATAGTTGAGATAAAATATTGATGATGTTCAAAGCTAAAGAAATAGAAATCAGTGATAACAAATTAAATGAAGACAATTTCGTTATTGATTACCTTGCAGAAACAGAACGAACATCGAAAAAAAACCCGACCCAGGAACTGATAACTGTAAGTGATGTTGGGAAATACGACTGAAAGAGGTAGAAGCCGTAACGACGAGCAAAGGTGAAATTAACCTAAATTTTGTATTAATTTAATGTTTCAATCTCGAATACATCAATTCGTTGCTTTCAGCTACAGAAAGTTAACAGTGAATTTTTTTAACAGTACCTGAGCTCTGTCCCAGATGCCATTTGGATATTGAAGTCGTTGGAGCATTGTGCTAGAACCTGTTAGATCGAAGTCGGGCAGTTCAACCTTCTCCATCAACGTCACTGGAATTTCGTCCCATTGAAGTCGAACTTCATCGATGTTAAATGAATAGCTTTCGATCACTAATTGGCACTGAATCGAGTCGAATGGAAACATTTTCAAGTCCATTTTACACGGTGCTTTAACTTTTAGTCTAAAACAACAAAAAATGAGACTCAGTGCCAAAGTATTTATTATAAAAAACTTTACAAGTCTGGTTTATTTCTTTATAGAACTTCGCGAACTGTTTTGCAGTTGTGCTTTAATTTTTTATGCTAGATTATAATTTAGCAGCTTGCTTAACTTTCAGTCTAATTAGTAATTTAGTCTTGAGAATTATTTGAACAGAAAAAAATAAAAGAAGATTCTGACAAAGGTTGCAATTATCCTGTCTTAGATAAGTTTTTTTTACTGCATAATAGTGCTTTTGTTAAGATCGATTATTTTTTTTTTTTTTTTTGATTAGCTATTATTTTTTTGTGCAAAAATAAATTTAGTTAGCTGCAGTTTCAGTCTATTGACCAACTTTAAATGACAAAAACAAATTTATTTACAAAAAAAAAATAATCAATTGCTTGAAAAGAATAATTTATTTATCAATTTTGATTGAAAAAATAAAAAAAGAATTTTTATTTCTTTTATTTAGCTTCTGACACTTTTCAACATACGTATCATAGCTGAAAACAGTGCTGCAGCAATTAGTGCTTATAACTGCCGCATCAAATACCATTCATTAATGCTTCAATTTTTCCTAAGTAAAATACTACAAAAAACACTCTTTTTTTTTGTCTTAAAGTCAAACGCTGTCAGATGTGTTAATGCCACTTTTTTTTTGCAAAAATACCTGAAAAATCTTTTCATCTTCAGTATTAAAATAATCATATAAATGAGTAAAAAAAGTATTCAAAGGGTTAGGGTACAGAATTGATTAAGATCTAGTGCATCTGATAGGTTTCTTTATAGCATTCTATTTATATAAAATTCTTGACAAGTCTTAGTCGTTGGAGAACTGTCTAAGCACTTTCTTTGCATAACGTTTCACTGTTTGCTCTTTGCTTCTATTATAGATTTTATATTAGTTTTTTTCTTCGATTATTTACAGTGGAAAAAAAATATCAAACTTGAAAATCTTAATATGTTCAGAATTGGAATTGCCATCAAAAAGATGCTATTCCTTCTATTGCCTTTGCTGCTGTTGATGCTGCTGTAATCATGATTGACAGACTCAGCATAAATTAACTTCTTTTTCTGCTTTTTAATGCCTTTCAGTGACGTTTTTGTTTCGACAACAACAAGAAAAGAGAGCCAGCAACATTAAATACCATAACTTAGTAGACATTTATTTCACTGTTCTGTAGTGAAAAATTTGTTAAAATATGGTCATAAGATACAGTTTTTGTCCCATGTCTACGTATAAACCATTACTGATAATAGTTCTCAGCAGAACACAGTTCAATGTGAACATTCTAATCGGTGGTATTGTTCCATACCAACGTTAGCAGCAACGGTGGCAGTAGTAGCAAAATCCCTGTTGATCATTTTTGATTACTGTTGGAAATGACAATTAGACATTTTTCACAAATTTTTTGCCTTATTTTGACTTTTAAGCCTTATTTAACTGTTCAAAAAACATTTCTGCTTTTCCCTTTTATCTTTTTTTTTTCGTGCAGTTCTTTTTTCTTTAAGCTCTTAATCGAATTATGACGTACTGAGAGGTGGAAAAGCCATAAAGTTAAAATAATATCTACATGTCTCTATTTTTTAAACTTTGTCCTCTCAAAAATAAAGCACATAAATTATAAATTCAAACAAAAAAAAGAAGATTTTTTTTGTTGCAGATAAAAAACAGAAAAGAAAAGACAAGAAAAAAGCAAATTTTTTTCTAAATAGCTTGGCGATGTTACTTTTATTTTCCAGAAAATACTCAACAAAATTTTTCTGTTTTGTCTTCAAATTTTATTTGTCGTTTTTTTTTTTTTCGGCTGCTGCATAGTTTAAACAAAAAAAAAAAATTTTTATCAGCCAAGAAGAGGGTTTTGTTGCTTTTTTCTTATATATACCCTAAGAATGATGCTTAAAGATCCCAGTTTAAAGAAGTTTGGTCTGGTGATACTGATCAAAATATCATAACAGTTTTTTAGTTGGCAATACTTTTTGTGCTCACAGATGAAATCAGAATCAGCAACACAACGGTAACGTCAGTAATCTCGGGTTCTAATCTACAAAAGTCAGCAAAAGTTGCTCTGTCAATTAATCTACAAATTCACTAATTAGTTTTATT